AAACGAAAGAATTTTTTTTTTTTTTTTTTTTTTTTTTTTTTTTTTCGAAACACCTCGCAACTCGTCAACGCGTTATCTACAAAACGTAGAATTTTTCATTCGTTCGTTCCGTAAACGGTGATCTACGAATCACGCAGTGCTACGTGGTGAAACTGCTCTGTTATCAGAGTGTGTCGCATTTCCTTTCTTTTAAACTAACGTCGATTTTAGCGGAACATGCAGCGTTTTCGATTGTATCGACCAGCGACGAACTGCAAAGTCTCGTATATTGTTTCACGTGAATCGACCAGCGATTAACTGCTTATCACGTAGTGCTACGGTTTGCGACGTAGATCAGCGGTTGAATCACGGTTCGAACAGTTCAACACAGCTGTCCGTGGATTTATTCTAGTTTACGTTATATGTTAGCCATTTAAAGGGACACGTAGTGTTGCGTCCGTTCGGTAAATCAGGGACCACGTAGTACTGCTTCGTTTTGCAGGTCATAACTAAGTTGCTATTGCGGTCAATTGAAGTATTGGGTTGATCGGAAAAGTTCGTAGCGAAATTTAAACCGTCGTGTCTCTCTTTTTAATTGACATAGCGATAAAAGTTAAACGGTACTTTTCTCGACAGTTGAAGGCGAATCGAACGCACTACTAAAATAATTTTAAGGTGAACAGGGGTGGATATCAGTCGAATTATATTTTTTGCAGCGGAGCGTGGATGTTGAAGTCTTTGAGATCGCTTCGGTAATTTTAAGGGTACGTTGGATTTATCTTCGAATAACGAGTAAAACACCTTTCAGTTTTTGTCGCTGTCTCGATTGGAAACAGAGATACGTCGCTTTGAATTTTTCTTAGACTTCCCTGCGAACTTCAAAGTACGATCTACGGATTTCTGCTGATAATTAGCAAAGAAGTGAAAAGCAACGTTAAATTTTTTAGTTCAACGTGACAAGTTTACCATTTATAATATTTTGCGACAATTTCAGATTTTTCGAAGCAAACACTCGAATAGTAATTTTTCTCTAGCGCGAGTAACGGTTACTGTCTCTCAGAATTGAGAAAAATCGCAGAATCGTGAAACGAAGTGGTAACGTTGATCTTTAAAATTAAAGTTTCCTTATTTACCGACGTGCCTTTATCTTCATTGTTATCTCTATCGTTATTTAACATGGAAGAGTTCTTAACGTTCCGTAGATAGCGCGTCAAGCTTGATTCACGTGTATTTCAGTGCAAGGCGCGTTCGTTCAATTGTCGCGATCAATATTGTGCACGCGCGCGAATCGCAACAGATCTATTCGTCCATCGTATTCGACACGATCTCATTACAAACGGGTTCACGTTTACAACGACACGTGGTTTTTCTTCTTTAAATATATATATATATATTTTTTTTTTACGTTTTTTTGTCGTTTTTTCGTATCTTTTCTTCCTTTGGCTTCTGTTTTACAGCTATACACACACACGGTTGCATATTTACTTAAACTTATTTAATTATTACCTCTTTTTCTTCTCTTTCTCCTTCTTCCGGCGTCTCACGACTTGCCCCGCACGTCACAGTAACATTTGTACCTCTCGATTTGTTTCTACGATTCTGTAAAAATATTACAAAGAGTCCTCTTTCTCTGTCTATTGTGCTCTGGATCGACGTTCGGTCGTGGATCTAGGCACAGACTTTTCTTTTATTTATTCACGGATGCGTGTGCCTTCTAACGTGTGTGCCCATAGGTGTCGAGGGAGCGTCGATTTCTTTTTTTCCTTTTACAACCAATAGTTTCAGTGCTTCCGTTTCGCCAGCGCGAAAAAAGGATCTACTTTCGTCCAGCCGTTTGCCTGAACAATAAGACACTTAACAGTTGGATGATCCCCATCTCTTCCTTTCTTAATGGATTTCCCGTTTTTTTTTTTTCTTAATTCTTCATTGTTACCCTCGTGTTTTCTTCGTCGTTTCTTGAAACGCACAGTGCGTCCCGACGTTGCGTATAACAAACAGAATAACACGTGTAGGGGGAGGGATCGGAAGTGCGTCGAGAATCGTCGACTGGTTTGATCGTGTAAAAAATATCTCTTTGTCGTGGAACGTTCGAAAGGAGCTGTATATGTACGTATGTCGAGGATAATCGAGAGAAGCAAGAGCGAAAGCGGGACGGGGACCAGACTCCAGGGGAACGAAAATCAGCCTCTTCGGCGTGTGTAACACGAAATCACGCGTTTGTTTCTTCTTTGTTTTTGTGGGGGGTCTTCTATTTCTTTTATTTCTCTCCTTATTCTTTTGCTCGTGAAAATGCAGTCAGTGAATCTTGGGAGCCAGGCCAGGCGAAATTATCGCACGAACTCGATCGTTCTTCTCTCTTTTCTCTTTTTGCGAAAGAGTACGAAGACTTTTTCGTTGATCTTCTTCTGTGGAAATGTATGCAGTTTGGAAAATAATACGGAAGTGAAAGAGGGAAAATATGAATCATTTCGTTTCGTTTCATTTCTCTCTGTCTCTTTCTGTTCCCACTATTTTTACCTTTTCTATCGCGTAACGCGGTTTCGTTCTTCGCGTAAACGAGAAGTCTTTATTAAGAGAAGAATTTCTTTATTTTTTCTAATTTCTCGCGCATCTTTTTATATATTATCTTTTGTATATCTCTCCAGCCTGTTCCCGTGAATTTTAGAATGTCTGCCTTAGAGTATTGAAGATACAAAAACTACGATAGAAAACAGAACAGACTTCGAATATTTTTGTTTTAGTTTTCTTCTTCTTCTTCTTCTGCTTCTTCTCCATTTAAATTTCACACTCAACATCGACGTCTTATTTTTTTTTCTTTCTTGTTATTAATACTATTATTATTTCTCTTAGCGTTATTTATTAATATTATTGTTATCATTAGTGTCACTCTTTTATATGCATGCACCGGGTGGTGAGAAATGTTTGGTCGAAAATTGAGGAGTATACGGTACATATCGAGACGAACGGAGAAGTCTCGTTAAACGTGGGTAGAAAAGTTCAAAGCCTATCGAGTCGGTCGTTACGACTCATCAGTTGTTGCAGAATCGAACAAAGTAAACAGTACCGTCACCATTTGATCGTAAATAAACATACGTCGTTCGGCAAAAATATTACATTGCTGCATACACGGCGTGTAACTACGTGCGTAGTTCTTTCATGGTTAATTCGTCAATTGTTCAATTAGAATTCCGAAAGTTTTAAAAAACTTGAAAACTCAAGTTCCAAATGAAACTTGAAAAATTCAGGTGGAAGTACGCAAGGGACAAGAATCGAGGCTTAAATTGAAACGAAAGTGCGTCAAAAAGCGCCAACAGCAGTGGCAAAGGGTTAATTCTCTCACAAGTTCTGAAACCGACGCCGAAACAAATGACTTTTGTACCAGCATTTATCAAGACTTTTTTTGTTTCTTTCGCCAAGTACCACATGCTCCTAAATTTTGTCCCAAACTTTAATCGACACCCGGTATATACATACACGTACATTTAAATTCACTCAAGCTTACCAAGTAGTTAATCATTACGTTTATCGTATTATCAATAGCGTTTCTCTTTATTCGATTTTTTTTTTTTTTTTGCTTTGTTTGTTTCTTTGTTTCCTTGTATTTGCGTTTTATTATACAGATTGTCATGGTAGGCATCGCGTGCCGTCAAATTTCTTCAGCCTCAGACACAACCTATATCTCCTTTCTCAATCGAAAGCCATTGCTGTTTGCCCGAAGGATATTCTCTTCGTCTCTTCCCTCCGTGCTTATTGAAAATTGCAAGAAAATTTCGGTGAGAAATGCCGGCGGTTGGATTACTCTCTAACGTAGTTCCCTCTGTCGTTCGTACTTCCGTTGCTCTCTATCCTTAGAGCGACGTGAAATTTGTGCATTTTCAAAGATCCAAGCACCCAGGTAACCAAGGTCTGCTATTTTTCCGGCAATTTCACCAGAGAAACTGTCATCCTCGCTTCGAGACAACTTGGACCTTCTCTTCTTCTTCGAAAAATTTCACCTACTTTCCGTAGACAAGTCTCGTCTCCCGGATCCAATCCTCGTCGATGCAAGGTCACGCGAACGAATCGCCTCGAGAAAAATGCCATTCGGTGTCCTCTCATTTTTCAAATTATCGCGGGAGGAGACAGCGTGAAAAATTTCGCACATCGTCGTTTCTGACGCGTTTTAATTATCCAATTCCTTTCCACTCGATGGGCTATCATCACCCTTATTTTGTTTGTTTTTCTTTCCTTTAGCGAACTTGCGGTTAGAGTTTACTCTCCTCAGGTACTCATTGCCCCTCCCGTTTTCACAAGGGTGACAGGTTAAGGGTTACTTCGAATTGCTACACTGTACACGGTTTATCTTTTACATGCCACAGTCGAAACTCTCCTGGTTCTGCACTTTTTTCTGGTAAGCCTCCAAGTAGCTGTCCACGTTCCGGAAGATGCCAGAATTCGCCTGGTACATTAGCGTTTCGAGGATCCTCTCGTTTCTGATCGCCTTCGACGGCAGGACAATCTGAAAAAAATGTTGATGGAATGTCAGGTTTATTGTTACACTTCGATCGAAAGGATGTGCTTCGGTGCAAGTTTCGTTGCTGTGTGTTAACGTAAGTTTTGCATCTTTGGTTAATAGCGAAAATTGTTAGTGGTGCAATTTGTCCCTTTTCATACCACTTTGCAGCCTTACAATCAACTTGCTTCCGTATATATTATCTCTGTTCAAAGTTTATGTATCATCTGGATATTTCAAATGTCCTTTTTCTATTGAAAAACTCATCGTACACTATGTTACCAATACAATTGTATCAACCACCTTTGTAGAATGTGTAAACACGTTTTGTCAGCCTCTTAACTTTGTTTCCTGCTCTTTGCCCAATTTCAGAAGCTCCATCATCCACGTTTGCTCCCGATTTAAAGAATTACTCCACGCTTGTGTTTATTAAGTGTAGAAATGATTCAGAAAATTGATTCAAAGTCGCCGAATTCCTGTCGCGATGCTATTTGCAAGCTGCCAGAAAATTAGCAAAAGGTCCTCGACAAGAACGAAAATTATTTCGATGATTGATCTGCTTTCGCTTGTTTTTTTTAATAAAACTTTATTCACAAAAGTCGGAGAGAATTCACTTCGACACCTAATGCGTAAATAAAACAAAACTGTAAGTGAGCTAACTGAAATCTGAGGAACGCTTACTCTGATAAGTTCCTGAGGCGTTATCCTATGGAGCTTCAAGTCTCTGCTAAGCCTCTCCATGATGCATTTGAACTCCACCTTTGGATCCAATTTTGTAGACTTCCTGTCTTTGATCCTGTTCTTCGCCCACTCGAGCATCGCCTCGAATTTTTGAATCTCGCACACCTCCAGGCCCCTGCACATGATCATCTGAACCATAGACTCGCTGAGCGTGAGGAAATCGGGATTCTGGAACAGCTGATACGCCCTGGTCTCGATGAAAGCGAGGATCATGTTGACCAACTCCGAGGCGGAAGTGTAACGCCAGCAGTAGTTCTCCAATGCGCACAGCATCACGCACACGATCTCGATCCGTAGAAATTGTTTCGCGTGATGGAAACACGCTTGTAGAAGTTCTGGTAGATCGTAGTGCTCCGCCGCGCAGATCAGACCTGGTATATTGCTGCAGGTGAGTGGACAGGAGCCTGTCTGCAGGTAGTTGAGCAGGATCTTGAACGTCTTTGGATCGAACTCGATGATGTCGAACTGCAAAAGCGAACGATACAGTGAAGAACGTTGAATTTTTTAGGTCGTCGTGAAAGTTTCTGTGATTTCTTAAACCGTTCATTTTGAAAAATTATAGTATTCTTATTTCACGTTTGATACACCTTTGACAACTTTCTCCGTTAAGGCAGTTTTTTCTTTCGAGATTCGTTTTTTTAAAGTGAAATGAAATTTGGGGTATTTTACTGTTGCCGTTTCGCTCGTGTATTTCTACTTCTTCACTGACCTATCCTATAACGCGATGCATATCAAGCAGTCAACAACGAACGCTGAGTCAGCTTCTTTTTTTACTATTACTACTACTACTACTAGCTTTTCGCGACGTATACGTAATTGTAGGAAAAATGTGGGTCACGAGACTTTCGAGAATTTCAATTGCCATTCAGAGTTCCGTCGGTTTAACATGTTATGGTTTGAAGTACTCAGAACTGAAGAACCGATTGTGACACCGACTTGAATATGAAATGCATATTACGGGCCATACGATTCTCTATCTCTGAAGCACTTTTGATTAACCCTTTCGCTGCGGCAGATTTTAGCGGACGGTATTTTTGTTTCCGCGATTGAAAATTTTTAGAGAATTTTGAAGTAAACATATCAGTTTAACACGTTAAGCGCCATGTCAGTCACCGGCGACTGACACTATACTTTTCGTTCAGACCGCGTCAATCAACGGTGACTGACGATATACAATTTAAAAAAGTTATATTCTTCTATTGATAAATTTTAAATAATTTGGAGATCGTAAAAGAATGTACCTAAATATTACTTGTTACCAAAAAAAAATTTGAACGAGTGTTATTAAAACACATGCAGTCTTATCGCAACCTTACACAGATCTCCGGACGCCAGCATATCGGTGAAATCGGATATCGCGGGCTAAACTGAAAGGAAGGCAAAACAGGCTTGGCGCTTAACGTGTTAAGAATGAAAGTGGAAGTACGCAAAGGAGAAAAATTAAGGATTAAATTGGTGACACAGTGCGAGAAAATTTTGAAAACGCCTGTTTGGTGTTCTCGTGAATTGAGGTATCGAGAAATGTTCAAAACGGTATAATGTGTGATAGATTTTGGTGCATCAGTAATTTGTGTAACGAAGGTAGGTTGTATTGTATTATAGAATAACGTTAATCAAACTTTCCAACAGAAAAATCAAATATAAACTTGGTTTATCGTCTGCAGAAAAATATTTCTATTTCAGAGTAGCGATTCTCTGAGATATTCCGAGAATATCGTTGAACGGATAGAAAGCGAAATAGTGTAAGTCATTTTCAAATTATTAATTTACCTCTATCTGTGCCAACTTGGCTCTGTCAACTTTCTGTGCGTCCGCGCAAACACTCAGCCTCGGTACCGCCAACTGTTGAGCGGCTTTCTCTTTCTCCTTCGCTTCTTTATCTAAAATTGAACGACACAGTAGAACGTTAAATTATACGAACGAATAAGTGCGCTATTTCTTTTACCAGTGAATCGACTTTCAATTGAAAATTGTAGTTTTGTATAGAGAAGACATATGTTTTCTTAAACGTATATGAGAAAACAAAAAATGTCGACAGTATCGAATGTTTGAAAAGAAACTAACGTGCATCAGCTTTTCTGCGACGCTGCATAAAGTCTACCATTGTTTATTTACACTTTTATCAACAGAATGGGATGCAATGTCCCTGCAAAATATTAAGTTCTTGCTAAAGTGATACTTTCGTCTAACTCTGTAATAGTAAAATATCAGAAACGAGAAGAGTACACTCTACACCAGAGCCGCTCAGCTAGCTGCCCGTAGGGCAGTTTTCAGCCCGCCTGGGCACGCGGGGATCGGCGGGCAGCGAGCCACGCCTCTCCGGGCAACGAGCGTGTTCCTTAGACGATCATAAATTAAATCACTGATCGTCTTAGCGCCAATATTTCTTTCTTGGCGTGTTACACGTCGTGTCCACGTCTTTTGCCCGTAACTTGCCCTCAGCGCTGCCCGAGGGCAACGGCGGGCACCAAAATGCCCGCCGAGGGCTTAGTTGAGCGGCCCCGCTTCACACCGTTAAACAGATCGAAATCTTGGTGTCTCGTTATTCGTCTCTCCTTCGCTTAATACTCTATTAAGACTTCCGCAACAACACTGTGCAAAAATACACTTCTACGAACGTAACAATCAACTTACTGCTGCAATCTTGCGAGCTGGTCCATCGTTTCCGGTCCTCGCCCTGCAGCTGGTTCTCGTGCTTCCTGATACTCCGTCCCCAACCAGCCGTGAACGTGCTGATCTTGGAGAAGGCTCGCTTCACCATCGGCGACGGGGGCTCGCTTTTAGGTCTAAACAAGTCAGAGCCAGTATCTCACAGAAACCGCAGAGCGGCACCTCAGGGTACGGAGAGGAAACTTTTTTCACAAAGTGAAGAAATTCGATAGAGACATAAAGAGAGAGAGAGAGAGAGAGAGAGAGAGAGAGAGAGAGAGGAACAGGCATGAGAGATCAAGGGAATGGAAATTTCGGATGGTGGTCAGATTTGATAGACTTATCGTTAATTTTGAACGCATGGAACAGTAAGAAAATTGACGAACAGTACGTAACAACGACGAAAGCTCGTCCCCTTCGTTCGAAAAATCAGAGGATGTAAACGTGCGTGCGATATAGAGAGATCGAACGGATAAGATTCGGAGCTTACGATCAACAGTTCCACGGAAATCCGACTCGAGCACGTTGCACATCGATAGACCGTGTGAAATATTTATCGGCAATTTTCGAATTTTACCGAAGAGTTGAAAATTGAATAGAAGGGCAAATGGAACACGTACAACAGCTGTATAACGGACAGAGAAAAAGACAAGAAAAGAATCGAAAAGAAAATGGTGAAGAAAGAGGAGATCGACACATATCGTAATTAGTACAAGATACTCTTTTCTTTTTCATTTTCATCTGGCCTCAGATTATAGAACATGCCACACAAGTAGTCATTCAATAACAAAACTAGCGAACGAGACATCGGATTTGAAATATCTTGCATCGCAAACTTTCAACCGTGTATATATGGAAAAAATCTTTGTCGATTTGACATACTTATAAATCATGCGGTGCTGCATGTAAATATATATCTGTGAGGATAGGAGACATGGAAGTGCCATAAGAAATACACATAATTACGATTAAATGTACGGTATATATATATATACAGGGTGTGACAGCAATTTTCTTCACCTTGAGTATCTCTGTTATTTTTAAATGAAAAAGCTTCATTTTGCAAAAGTTGCACGATACCTGGGGAGCCGTAATGTTCCAGTAATAAGTTTCTCATGGGTGGAGGAGTTTTCAGGGAGATTTCAAGGATACCACTATTTTATTAAACCATTGTAGCTCTTTTTAAAAAAAAATTCAAACTTTTCGTTTAATAGTGACCTATGAAAAAATTTCCCAAACTTTTACCTATTTTTAGAAGTTTTACAGTAAAAAATAGAGGTGATCTAGAAATCTCCAACAACCCTTCACTTATGAAATAATTATTATCAGTATCGTACGACTTTAGTAAATAAAATTTGTTCGTATCTTTAAGAATAAATGGAGATATTTCAGTTAGTTAAAATTTTTGTCTCACCATGCACATATGTATATGTAATAGATAAGTATATAGTATACATTCGACAACGACATCCAGGACAAGTTAGGTCTCACCGTTGGAATGAATTCCGGTTCTTTTAATTGCTAAATAAATCCAGTTTGTTATATCTTTCACTTAATTTCGTTTTTCTTTTTGTTAACCCATTTTGTAGACCGATCATTTAACAGATTTGCATTTCTAATTTAATTATTTCATTTCTTTCTTTAGAGGAAGCGAATAAAAATTTACCATACGAAACTTTTCAATCGAACACAAAGTTTACGCTAATTAATACTTTGACTATTTTAAGTCTGATCCAGATTGAGACGTGAAAAGAATAGTATTTTGGGGAAAATTGCAAATAGAAGGCTAACGAAAGCAAATAATTCTAAGAAATAAATTTTTTTTAAAATGACAATTAACGATATATTTTTCTAATTGGCTATAAAAATGGGTTAATAAATTTGCTCCATCGTATTGAGAAATTTGACAAACAGGTGAATCGCGACTGGCAAAACAATTTCATTTCACTTCTATCCGTAATTCGCAACTGGACTTCTGCAGATATAGAGATGCACAACTTTAATAGAAATAATCAGCAAGATACGAACCTTGGAGCCTCGACGTCAGGAACTTGAAGAAAGTTGGAACTTCGTGGTTTCTGTGAGCCTGGCAAGGCGGGAGCTGGCTTGGCAAGTAATTCAGCAACCGGTACTTGAGGACTCCCGAAACCTGCTTGAATTCCGTACAGCATCTCTTGAAATACTCTGGAAAATTCATTGAATTAGCAACTGTTGCGAATAATTTCTACAAATGAAATTTAAATTTTTAACAACTTTGATAAAGATGATAGACGGTTTTGAATCGTTCTACGTATCAAATTATAATTTCTATACGGCAAAATAACGAATATTCAAAAAAAAAAAGTTTAATTTTAACGGAAGGTAAATGAATTTTTTTGGCGAATCACCTGCTTCTGACCGCCAAAATTGCCCGAACACCGTTGAATCTGACTTTCTGCTTCTGTGGACCGTGTACTAGGAAAGATACATCGAACAGACTTGCATTCAACGTGGCGTTGTCTTGATTATTCAGGAACACTCTCGTAAAGTCTTTGGCTAGTTGATCGTAATCCTCGAATTGATCCCTGACAGAATCTAAAAGTGGCGAAGACGGTCTCATGTGGCCGATCGGTCTCCAGGAACCGCGTCTAAAAGAAAGACATTCAGTAAACATTCAGGGAATTATCTTATTGTATGTAAAATAAAAAAATCCTAATCTAATTTTTCTTTTTATCAGAAAATTTGTTGTACAGACATGAAATCTGATTAAAGCTATGAAAAAATTAGGTATACACTTCTTTTCAACTGAAAAACGAGCAAAAAGGTAATTTTCTTTTGGAAATGAACTTTTAAGTAGCTTAAAAGAATTAAATTCGACCAGGTACTTTAAATTTAGGAATTAATTAAATTCTGCACACTAATTTTCTAATAATTCTTTAATTTTCTACTAAATTCTGTGATAATTTCATTTTGTATTTTATATTCGTTTACCTGTACGGTTTCGGAATTTGCCCCGTCATAGCGTGGTTATCCAAATTGGCAACGATATCCTCCAGCATTTGAGTCCTCGTTCTCTCTTGCATCTTCGCGAACTTCGGCGCGGAATAGCTTGCCCTCTCTCCGTTAACGATTTTCGTTAGGAGCCACTCACGGAACATGGGACCTGTTGAATCGGCATACCCTCATTTCTATCTTTCACACACAACTTTCTTCTTTAAGTATTTTCCTCGATATCTCAAAGTTATGGCTTTCTAAATGGAACCGAAATATTTTGCAAGCTCCATCCTTTCGCGTCAATTTATATCCGAAACGAAACATCAGTTAGAACCGTTCTTATTAACATCTTCTCAAATTATTTTTCCCCCAAATGGCTTATTTTATTTTTATCAATGAACTGTGCAATTTTGCTTATTAATTTTGCTTCTGCAATTTAGCTGAACTATGCTTTCTTTCCAAGTAGAACAATTCTTATCGTTTTTTCGCAAAATGGATTGTTTTATTTCACCAATAAATTATGCAATTTTTGTAGGAAATATTTCTACGAAATTTCAATCACAACGAAAATATTTCAGGCGATAAAATTAGATGGTACAGGAGATTGTATGTGTTGATACCTTTTTTAAAGACATTTTGCTCCCACAGATAGGGCTTGTACGCTCCAACTTCGTCCCTCGTGGCGACAGACACTTCGTATCTGGTAACTTTTCTTTTTATTCGTGGACTCACTCGGACTAGAATGAACGTGTAGAGGAAATGTGATTTCATGCAGGCTGGATTAAACGGAGTTTTGTCAGCTTCCAAGAATACGACGCACACTATGTCGTTTCCGATATGTCGCTTTTTCTGCACCTGAAATAACATTTTCTTTTAGTATGTTTCCTCACTTCATCACTTCAAACTTACGAACCTTAACACTTATACACATTTGTCAGTTAAATTTCTAATAATATCTTAGAAAAAAGAAGTTATAAAAGTGTAATTTCATTTTGACAAAAATGTTAGCTTCATTTTATAGGACGAATTTTAAATTCGCCGAGTGTTCAATGACTTATCGTTAAACTGCAAATTTTTATGCATTTACAGGAAGTTTCAAGATATTCAAAATTGCACAGAATGCACGTAATATGAAACATACCCAAATTACAGTGGTTTTTGTAATACCCGGTAGGTGAAATAATTTTCTGCCCAAGTTCTACTTTCCTTTACTATATTCGCATAAAAATCTGCTGTCTACTTATAGTCAAGAGTACACATATCACGAATAATTACTCTGGGACAATTTATCAATTTTGATTAATTTATTAAGAAAAAATGCCATACCCTCTGCACGTCGTGTTTCTCATTAGGCAGAAACGTGGACACGTGATACATAATTTCGATGCCCCGCCAATTCGTGTAAACCGAATACAAGCCGGTTAGATCGTGAATGGTGTCCAAACCGCCCTTGTACTTGTCGAAGTTCTTCAGACGGATTTTATCACCGAGAATCTGCAAGAACTCGTCGAACAACGGCGAGTTCCTATGGTTGTCCAATATCTCCTCCTCCGTGCACTGGTTCTCTTGAACGTAAAGCACGCCGACTTTTAACTCGGACTTTATGAACACTTGATCCAGTTTCAACAGTTCATCCTGAGTGTCCGGTAGCTGACCTAGTGTCAGCGGTGGATTTACGTTCACTTCTTTTCCCAAGCTGCGAACCACTTCCTCGCGATCGTACCTGCAAGAAGTAAGGAACTTTCGTGGAACTACTATTCTCTTCCCTTAGACCTACAGGGAAATTCGTGTTAAGTGGATGATAATAAGAGACGTAACGAAAGATAGGACGTTATAATTGCCAAGTTACGCTGTTTAATTACCGAACTGTACGTGTGTTACGCGGAAATGCTTGACTTGTACTACTTGTTCCGTGTTTGACTTTATACTACTGAACTTTTTTCAAGCTGTTCCTATCCGTCTGCCATTTTGAAAGTGTACTCTTGTTGTTAGGGTGACAAGCAGATCTCGATCAAAGTGAAATTTAATTCGACGAATACTAAATTCTGCTTTTTTCAAAAAAATTACTCTTTTACAGAATCGTTACTCGGACTTGTGAAAGTAGGTAAAAGTTCGGGAATTTTTTTCATAGGTAATTAGTGACAGAAAAGTTCTAATTTTTGCAGAGGATATAAATGCAACTTTCAGCCTTCTCCTCCCATTTTTAGAAAGTAAAAATGTTACAAAATGGGGGAGAAAAAAAATTCCCAAACTCTACCTATATTTAGACGTGTGAGGATGGTGTCTCCCTTCGAAACTTTTAGCAAAACTTGGCCCAAAGGGACAATTTAATCACAGAGAAAAATAGACGTTGCAATCTTTCCCTTGCAAGAGAGAAAAATCTTCAAATACCTGTCAGCGAAGACGCAACTGGCCGGGATCAGGCCATGAACGGTGTAACTGATGGCTCTGACGAGAATTCTAAATTGATCCCGATTGTTCAGCGTTTCCTGCTTGATGCTCAGTATCACCGGACCGAGTTCCTCGTCGTTGGTGAAGTAATTCCAGTGCTCCGTCCCGTAGAAGTACTTCTCGTACGTCTCTTGCTCGACAGAAGTCAACTCGAATCCTTGATTCTTCTCCCATTGCTCCTCGATCGTGGTCTTCTTCCTGGGCAACTCGTCTGTGTCCGACTCCTGTTGAACCTCAGCTAGCTCGGTGTCTGTCGCCTCCTCGCTCTCGCTCTCGTCCCAGATCGTGTCGGAGGTGATCTGTTGCCTGGAGCACTCGATCCAGTAGCCAGGCGTCGGCACCATGTTGTGAGGGAACTCGTTGCAGAACTCGTCTGCGGAAAAATTCGACGTTGCTCTCGTTAATGAGATTTATTCTATAACAGATGGAGAAGAGTAGAAGGGAACTGGATGTTTCAATTTGATTCATGCACCAATAGTTACAGTCGAATACTTTGTGTCCCTGTGGGAACTGACTCAGTGGAGTGTTCCAAAGATGTGTATTTTCATTTACTTTTCGAGTACAGAAGTGTAGATTGTTTGAGGAGCATACTTTTGGTGGTATTTGGAATTGTTTCGATTGTTTTTAAAGTATTGAAAGCGCTGATTTTGTATGTTTCTCTGGAAAGGAATGCTGACATGATTGGTTAGAGTGTGATAAATTTGTTTGTCTTATGTTTCAAAACTCCAGAAGCATTTTCACAGTGTACTTCTATAATACGTACTTTATTCGAAATCTACTCTACAATCTTCTTCCCTTTTTTCAAGTATTACGCTCATTCACTCGAAACAACAACGTGAACCGATATCAAGTTAAAACAACCTGTAGCTCGGACAAAATTTTTCCAAAGGACTCCACATTCCCAATTTTATCATTACATTAAAAAAAAAAAACACCATCCATGCTTACATATATCTGACTTCAACATCATCAGCGTGAGTCCTCCGAATATCGACGGCAAACCGAAAACGAATCAGCTCGGCAAAGACTTGGCACACTTGAAATTCCATTTTCCCCGCAATTCCATTTCCTTACATTATTTTCCATTTACTCCGTTCCCCTTACTTTCAAATAACACTCGCCCCGTTCGATTGAGGTAGCAACAGAAATTTCAACGAATTCACCTCCGGAGAACATCTTCCCTCCCCTCTCTCTCTCTCTCTCTCTCTCGCGAAGCAACAGCGTCGGTCTAAACGATGTCGAGGACGTTCTCAGGAGCCACGTGGAGGCGCAGAAAAGTCGACGTGAAGAAATCATTAAGGGAGGAATCCGATCTGGACCTTTTCTCTCTCTCTCTCTCGTATCCGGCATGTGCCCGCCGACCATACGGCTGGGTTTGGCCATTGTTTCGCGGATTTTCTCCTATCCACTTAGGCACGTATCACCCGATAATGCGTTTCCTTCCTCGCGCATCCCTGTGTTTTCCGCTCATCGATCCGCCCTTCTTTCTCTTTTTCTTTTTTCACACCACTCGTCCATTGGAACGTCGACGATACCGCGGTCGATTCACTGTAAGGTAGAACACCAAACTGTTTATAGACAGGCCTGGTATTCGAACTTAAAGTGAACCGGCCGCGGTGCATCCCCGTCTATCCTCGTCGTCTTTCCGTTCCTCTAATCTCGGCTTTTCTCCCTGCAGGAATTAATGGCCTGTAGTGCTCGGTAAATTCGATCGTCGATACGGGGCGCCGTTCCAGTTTTACTCTCCTTCCTGCAGACGGTTCTTCTTCTGGACCAAGGATTACCGGAGATCTCCCTTGAATGTGATAAAATAACGATCGCTGGATCATTCTCTTCGACGAATGTTCCACTTCTTTTCGGGGACGAAGTATTCGATGTCGATGCTCATTTTTTTTTTTTTAGAGATTGCTTAAGAATTGAAGCTTGGTTGTTTTGTTTTTTTTAAGGGGGGTTGATGGAATACTGTGACGATGTGTAGTTGTTCGATGCTAGGCTTGCATGGATTTGCACGAAGTCCATTAATTCCATGCACGTAACGTGTTGAATTAAACAGAGATTTAATTATGCAATGATAAATTTGCCAAGTGTA